GTGCGGCTGCTCCTCTGGGCGAGGGAGACCCGCGCCGACCGCTTCTTTCTGAACTCGCTCAGCCCAAGTCGTAACTTTGCCCTTGCCGGCAGCTCCGGCGGCCGGGGAGCCAAGAAGGGAGTCAGAAGCAGGGAGACAGATTAGGCAAAGACCTCGAGAGGCTAAACTGAGCTTTCACTTCCTGTTTAAGTGTTTCAGGGCTGATGAAAAATTAAGTTCAGCTTTTCAAAGGGGAAAACCTGATGCTGAAGTGGGCAAATCTGCTGAGGATGGCCAAACCACTATGGGCCAGTGGCCCGTGCTCTGTTCCCGCTGGTACCCATGTGCTGGGCTGCTCTGGGCTGCGTGCATGAGGAGCAGCAGCTGGAGGAGCTGGGTTTTAGTTTCCATCTGACCCGGAGCCTGTGCTGCCCACAGCCAGCCCTGGTGTGACCGGGAGCGTGGACGCTGGGGTGGGAGAGCCGCTCCCCAGCAAGGTGTCATGCACCAGCTCTCCCGGTGATGGTGCACTGCTGATGGTACATGAGAGCTGCTAACAGACAGCAGCGCTGAGCTGCAGGATATGGCAGAGGACCGAGCTCTTCAAAACACAAACAAGAAGGTATCAGCCCACCTGGCGACCCATCAGGCAGGAGAGGCAGACACCAAGTTACCCTGCAAGGGTTTTTGCATGCGGACCAGAGAGATGCAGGAGATGCACAGGCATCCCTGCCACTGCCCACCAAAGCATGGTGAGCCCTTCCCACCGTTCCCTCAGGGCGGGAGGAGGACTGGGAGAAGCAGCTCAGAGGTGGAGGCTCCGGCTGGAACATGCACGGGGAAGGCGCCTACAAAGGCATTTGCTGGCGGGGGATTTCGAGGGCAGCTCAGTTACCCAAAAGCAGCCACAAGCACTTCTTCAAAAAGCCACTTTGGTAGAAAGGCTGGGGGAATTTTCCAAGCCGCCTCTGTGCTATTGCCATCAGATAAGAGGTATCGTTTCCCTTTCTCTGTTTCAGGTTTGGTTTCTGGGCAGGACGAGCAGCTGCCCAGCCCAGGGCAGGGGCTGGGACCCCAGCACAGGCTGGGGCCAGTTCCTCCCCATCACCGCAGTCCCCAGGACCATGTTACCCTCCAGAGAGTTCCTGACACCGTTGCAATGGCTGAAGGCAGGTCACCTTCCTGCCCCTGAGGACACTGCAGGGATTTACAGCCGTCCAGCAGCAATGCCGCAACTCCCACATGGGGTTTTAACCTGATATTCCTCCTTTCAGCTGTTGGGCAAAGGGGCCCTGGCTGCAGCGGGGATGCTGGCTGGGGGGTGTCGATGAGGGGTTTGCAAAGGGGATGGCTCTGGCTCAGCACCTCGGCCCCACACCACCTGAGCAGCCTGTGGTGCTCCTGGAGGGGAAGAGCAAGATGGGAGCGGGCAGGAGGAAGGAGCCCCAGAGCACTGACACGAGAGGTTCTGTCACACAAGGGACTGCGATATTTATCCCAATTAAAGTGAGTGTCAGGTTGAAAGTGATGAAACTAGAAAGGGAGTAGAGCAATTCAGATAGAAACCAATGCAGCAAAGCATGGTGCGGACCTGCGCTGCCTGGTCTCCTGCAGAAACGGAGAGAGCCCCGTGCAAAAGCTCCCCCCCGACACCCTCCAACCCGGGCACAGGCGTGGGTGCTGGGGTGCTGCAGACAACCCGGGAAGGGGAATGGATAAATGCAGCCGCCCGCGGAGGAGGCTGCAGCGAAGGGCGGGGGAAAGCACCGGGCTCTGCACCAGCGTCTCTGCGGGGCGGCTGTGGCTGGGGAGACGCTGCCCTCCCCCACCCCGGAAGGGGGCCCTGAGGGGGAGAGCCGGGTCCTGCCTGCCGGAGCTGGGTCCTGCCCTGCTCTTGAGCCGAGAACCCCTCTCTTTTGGCAGCAAGTGGCTTGGGAAACACAAGGCAAGGCTATTCTGTAAGAGAAGAAGCGTTGCTGACACACTTCTCAGGAATCCCAGTGATGCATCCCGACAGGAACAAATCAGCTTGTCTTTTTGTCTCAGGCACACTTGGGGCTGGAGCAAGCGCTCGTGTGTGGCTCCATAGCCGTGTCAGCGAGAAAAGCGGCCCCAGCAGCAGCAGAGCGATGGCTGGCGAGGGGAACACGGCAGCGGAAGATGAGCTGACACCTGCGCTCCTGCAGCCCCTGCCCAGCGCCTGCCTGCGGGCAGCGTTCCCAGCCCCTGCCCAGCAGCGACAGGACATGGAGCGACACGATCGGACACTGCTTTTGCCCCAGCTCTGACAAGATTCTGGGTCCATGTTTAGTCTCTGGCGGTGGCTTTAAAAAAAGGCTCAAAGCCCTCCTGGGACAGGCAGTAATTGAATCAATCAGTGCGTGCACCCCCTCGGTGCACGGCCCAGCACCAACACATCTTCCCCAGCTCCCGTCCCACCTTACTACCCACCGCCACAGCTGAGCCTTTCCAGAGTCCTCCTCTGCTCTGGGCTTCAGTGGCATTTTGAACCCCTGATTCTGTACTTAATCTAGGGTCTTTGCAAAATAACCTGGGTGTTTCAGACTGTGCTTTCGTGGGCAGCTTTGGCAGCTTTGGTGAAGTTGTCCTTAGGAGATAAGGCTGAATATAATAATGGCTAATGCAGCTCCTTTAGTGCTGGCTGATTGAGCACGCACTGTCTGATCTCTCCCTTCCGCTGCCATCTCAGATAACCAAGATAAGCCCAGATCGTTCCCAGATCTCCTGACTTAGCAAAGCTAGTAAAAGAGAGAAATACTTGCAGACTTCGTGGTGGTGGAGGGTTTACTCTGGGCTGTGCCTTAGGCTGGACTCCTCAGCCGGAAAGGGCTAAGGCAGGGGTTAGTTATTGCAGTGAAATTAAGAAAGCAAAATTCAACAGATTCAGAGGATGAAATTCTGACTCCTCCCTAGCTCACAGGGAAGGAATGACTTTGGCAGGGCTCAGATCTCCCCAAAAAATTGTTGGACAGGCAGTCCAGGGAGATACTACAACAGGTTAATGGCGTTGGGCAGCCTAGAATGAGCAGGAGCGGGAGAGGACAGTGAAGCAGAAACTCCTGAGCTGGATTTAAATCTTCCACTGTTATAGCTGTACTTCTCAAGGCAAATAGACAAGTAATTAAGCTACCAGAGATACAGTCTACCAGCAAAGGAGACCAAACAATGGAGCTGAATTGCAGGTTCATTTGAAATCACTCCCGCCATTTGCAGGTCATTTCCTCTGATTTCATTGCTCTGCACTGATTTCAGCTGCTCAGCGCTTGCTCAGGGCTATAAACCACTCGCTGGCTCCCAGGAACCTCTGCTGGGGTCTGGGGGAGGCTGGGAGAGCAAGTGGTTTGCTTTGGATGGTGGGGAAAGGCATTTATTGGTGTTGGGGGGGGAGGAGGAGGGTGATGCAGGTGTCAGGCTGCTGGGCTCCGATAAAGCTGTCGATACCACTTATCTGCAATGGGTCAGGTCCCCCAGAGCCGTGAAGTGGTATAAAGCCCTTGGAGCCGTGCCAGGCTGTGCTGGTGCCTGTCTTTTGCCAGCAATCTGTGTTGTCTCGTTAGGCTGCATTACACCTGGCAATATCATGATAGATAGGAAAACTGTCTTCCTCCTGAGTGCTGTTAAACCTGCAGGGCCAAATGCGTCTCAGGTGTAACACCAGTGCCTGCAGTAGGAAAGGAGAATTTGGCTTTACAGGGTTTTCCTTCCCCCCAGCCAGGCCCTCGCTCAGCAGCAGCTCCTTGCCACTTTCCTTTGCGACTGTGAAAAGGGAGACAAATGTTGGTGGAGCTGAGACGGGTCAGAGGATGCTCTCGGAGCCCCTCCTGCAGCAGGGATGTGCCAGGAATCCCCCTCCAGAGGTAAGCAGGGCTGGAGTCTTGGACCCAATGGTGCGCTGGAGGCTTCTCCTCTTCACTGGGGCTTAAGTTCATCCCATCCCCCAGGAGAGGTTTGTCTGAGCACCAGCACGGCTTGGGTGCCCAGGGTAGAGCTGTGTGGTGCCTGTGGCAGATCTGGGTCTCGGGGGTCTGTGTGACCCAGCAGGCAGCTCGGGTCAGGGCAGTACCCCCACTCTGTGTGGGTGCTGGGGCAGGAGAAGGCTGAGCATGCACTTGAGACAAGTTAGCGTGAGGTCTCCATCCTCAAGGGGCTGATACGGCGCTGGGACACCCATGGAAAGGCTTTTTGCCAAGTTCTCGGTGTATTTAAGAGGGCAGAGAGTTGCCCTGGCTTCGCTGAAGTCACCCTGAGGTTTGCTGCTCTCGCCTTCCTGGCCCTACCTGGTGCGGGGTGTGTGCACTATGTCGAACCATGATGCCGGCCTTGCCACTGATAAATTATCTGACCCAGACACCGTGGCTCGTGATAGCGCTTATTTTTTGCGTGGCTGATTGTCTTCCAGTGCTTGAGACCAATGGGGGTGGTCTGTCTGCAGGATGGTCTGTGTTGGGCCTGGGTTTAGCTTCTTGGCTTGGGCAAGCCTAAAAACCCCCTGCCCCTCTGGATTGTTTTTCATCTTTTCTGGCTGTTGTTGCCAAGACTGATCATCTGACCCGGCAGAACCGTCTCCGCTGTCAGAGGAAATAACGGACAGATATAATTAGCAACGTCAGGCCCAGGCAGTCAAACAGCAATCGGATGGGTGCAGATGGCTCTTGGAAACGTGGTCTGTTCCTCTGGCTTGGGACCATCTGCTGATCTGGAAGGAGGGAACCTGAGACTGAATCGGGTCTCTCTTAAATAAACTTCTCAGTAAAGATTAATTTCTTTCCAGTCTAATCAACAGCACCAGGTTGCTCTAAAGGGAGTC